CTCCATTCCTGCCACCTCTGAAATCGAATGTCAATAGCCTTTCTCTAAATAAAAGCTTCAGACTGATCACATCTTCTCTATTATGGCTGCCTGTGAAGGACTGAACTGTGTCCCCAACATTTCTGTGTTGAACTCCTAACCCCCATATGACTGCACTTGGAAACAAGGCCTTTAAAGGGTGATTAAGATTAAATGAGGTCCTAAGAGTGGGGCTTAGATCCACCAAGACTGGTATCCCTAAAAGAAGAGACACCAGCGATCTCTCTGTGTCCTATAAAGACACAGTAAAAAGGCCATCTGCAAGGCAGTAAGAGAGGCCTCACCAAAAACCAACCCTGACAGCTCCATGGCTTTAAGACTTCCAGTGTCCAGAACGGTGAGAAAATAAATGTCTGTTGTTTAGGCCACTCGGTCTGTGATATTTTGTCATGGCAAATTGGGCAGACTAAAACACTGCCTTTCAACTTCCCTGAATCTTGTCACTTTTTTCCTTCCAGTTGACCCTCTTTCTACGGCTTTCCCTATACATTCCAGACTCCCAAGGGCTTCACTTAAAACACTTTCAACTTTATTTCAACCCAAATACCAACCAAAGCAGAGCTGCGTGAGCATGTTATCACACAGGAGACAGCTGGCTCCCACAATCTACCATCCATTTCTTATTCAGTCCCAGTGCCCATGCAGAGCAGTATCATAGCTGTTTACCCTAAAGCCCATGGGGAAAAACTTTATCAACTAGAACACTGTGTTTACAGTGGAGATACTGCTGCTTCAGCTCCAGATCACCACCATAAAGTACTACAATAAAGTGAGTTGTAATCTTTTTGCTGGAGGGGGCAGCGGGGAGCAGGTCTTGCCTTCAAATTGTAAAAAATTCAATGTCTGTGAAGTGCAATAAAGAAAAGCACAATAAAGAGAGGCACAATAAAGTGAGGTCTATCTGTATAGTTCCTTTTGCCTTCAGTCTTACAAACACCACTCATTTAAAGTGACTTAAGTCAGCACCTTTGTCCTTAGCTCCTTCAATATGGGTGTTTTATACATTTGCAATACAGTCAGGGTCTTTTGTTACAGTCTACATTCCATCCTGGAATCTCCCAATGATCTTTTTAAATTTGCATGCAGATAGTTAATTTGATTTTTTAATTTACATTATTATACAGAATAGTTTCACTCCTCCTAAAAATCCCATGCTTTACCTATTCAACCCTCCACTCCACTAACTCTGGCAACCGCTGTTGTTTTCTCTATCTGGAGTTTTACTTTTTCCAGAATGTTACATGAACAGAATCATACAGTATGTGACATTTCACACCAACATCTCTCAACTTAGCAAGATGAATTTAAAATTCATCTATGTCTTTGTATGTCTTGAATGCTCATTTCTTTTCGTTGCAGAATTTGCATTGCTGATGGGAAAGCAAAATGCTACATCCATTTGGAAAACGGTTTTTGTCAGATTTTTAAAATGTTAAACACACCTACCATGGGATCCATGCATACCATGCTTAGGTATTGACCTGAGAGAAATGAAACCATAGGCAAGAATGTCAAAAATTTCAAAGTGTGACAACTGTGTAGACAAGGCTGTCAGGAAACTGGCAAGATCATTCTTTGCTGGTAGAAACAGAAATTGGAATATCCTTTATAAAGGAAACTTAGCCGTACCCAGAAAAACTACAAATGCACTCACCTAGAAGACTACTTCTAGGAATTTACTCTAAAAATATACTTCCTATGATATAAAAATACACCTGAACAAGGCTATTTACCTCAGCACTGTTTGTAAAGCAAACTACTGGAAACAGAAATCCCCAGTCACTGGACAGAGCTCGAATAAACTCAGGACCTACACTCAACAGATGTGCCATGCACCCATGAGAAATAAATTACAGAGTGATTCCAAGGTATACTGTTACAGGAAAACAGACAAATGCAAAAGATTTTCTATAGTACGCTACCTTTCACATGAAAAGAGGATATGAGAGAACAAATGTGAATTTATTCCTTTGTGCAAAAAGAAATAAAGAAAAGATAAATCAGACACTGAAGATGCTGCTGTCTACATAGGGTAGGTGTGAATGGGTTGGGAAGAAGGGAGAATTAGAAATGGGGCGGTAAGGAAGAGGAGGAAACGACATTCTCTGAATATAGCTCCGATTTTGAGAACCTTGGTAATAATCACTTACTCAAAAAATAATTACATAATATCAACCTGGGTGTGAGAATCAAAATAGAATAAAACTATAAAACAAGTAAAATAACCACAATGTAAAGCAAGGAATAAAAAAAACTAACCCAAATAACTTTGGAACACTGAAACCATAAAATTTGGCATTATAAAGACAAAAAACCCCCACAAAACTATGTATAGATATTATACTCTAGTTAGTAAATCTGTTTTTCATAGGGACAAAGGTTAGCAATTCTGAAACTTACTGTGCGTATTTCAAGATTGAGCAAATAAAGTAAATATATTGTAAATAAGGAAGCCAGGTTTCTCACTACTGGAAAAAGGAGCAAAAATAAGGAGGGAAAAGCTAGAATAAATTATGCGGTGTTGGACTGGAATTGAAGGTATTAGTGGCTTTTATTACACCAGCAGAGAAATAGATATAAATATGTGCATGTACATACGTTTAATTCCAGTCTGTATGTTGAAACAGCCTAGAAGTAATGACATCCCACTAGCAATATGCACACCTAGCACCCGGACCTTGGTTCTAAATATCATTCTCCACTGAGAGGAACCAGGGCTCCTTGAAGAAATGGCTGATTACAGAGCTGCAGCAGGTAAAGGACAAGGTAAGCCTAGAGAATACTGGTGCCAGAAAATAAGAAAGTAAGTACCAAAATTGGTGAAGATGTATTGAAAGGATACATAATACAACTCAAAGCTTCTCCTAATTGTCAAATCTATGTATTCCAGCAAAAAATAAACATTGATATGGCCGACATGGTGGATTAAGATACCAAAAAATGAGATAAATACCCATGAGTCCAAACTGAAATAATAAATAAACAAACTGGGGAAGAAGCAACAGTTCCTCCTTAGAGTAGAACGCCAATTAACATATGCAGATAGAACGATGGAAAGAGAGTCACCATTTGGCCAACACCGCCGTAATAACTGCTGTGAGCAAGAATCATCACTGGAAGCAAAACTTAATGTGAGAAAGTATTATGAAAAACAGGGTATGTGCAGAGTCTCCATACAGTATGCTTATTAACTACACAGGAAAAAACAGTAACTTTTCTATCAAGAAAGAACTGGCAGGCCCCATGTATCTAGGTGATCAAAATTAGCATCATTAGCAGGGAGACATAGCAAGTGTCAATACCATGTGCCTCTTCATTTCCACAGTGCTCTTGCACATGACCAGATTTGAATCAGGAGGAAACATCAAACAAACCCAAACTGACAGGTTTTGTACAAAATGATTAGATAGTACTCTTCAAAAGTGTCAAACCTATAAAAGACAAGAGAAGACTGAGAAACTGTCCCAGGTAGTGGCATGGCATTGATAATCAATACAGATTCCTACGCCAGACAAAAGGGATTAATGGGTCAGAGGGAAAAATCTGAAGAAGTTCTATCCATTGCTTCAATGTCAACTGAAACTGACTGTTGATAATTATACTGATTACAGAGGATGTTAACATTTCAGAAAGCTAGGTGAGGGGTATCTGAAAACTCTATTTTTTGCAAAAATTTTTTAAGTCTGAAATTATTTCAAAATGAAAAGCTAAAAATATAAAATTAATTTAAAATTAAAGAATTCTTTGATTTGAAAGTAAAAGCAAAATATTAATAAATGTTAATCATACACTATGAGCTTTCTTCTACAAAGAGCCTCAGCAAGGACATACAGAGAAAAACCACTGTAAGTAAATGCCTGGCTCTCTCAATGAAGCTTTAACAGTTTCAGCTGTGACCAAGACATGGCGGCTAAGAGCTGCTACTATACCCCAAGGGAAACAACAAGAGGATACTGATGAACAGCAACTGACATGCAACCTCAGCCCTGCGAGAGGACCGGAAATGGAGGTAGAATGAACTGGGCACAAGCTGGTCCACAGGCAAAGTCACCACAGCTCTGGTCAGATGTTCCCCAAGCAACGTGAGAGCGTGGTAGCCAGGTCTTCCAATTTTTTAAAAGAGGCAAAATTCAGATTCATAGGTAGTATACTGTCAACTTTACACACTGATAATCATCCCATTTTGTTCAATAAGGCAGGCCAGACACATCATGATTTTGAGTCAAATTCTGCCTGCAGCTGCCAGTTTTCTTGCTCTTTCTAGCAAACACCTATACCTGCACCTGCCCCACTGCACACAGTAGGGGATACTCATAACTCAAGGCCCCTTATCTATAAGACACACAGGAAGAAGCCCCAAAGGAAGCCCACCTACAGTTGATCGGGAGGCCTCGGAAGCCATGCAGGGTCATAACCCTTAACACTCTCAATGCCCAAGTCCACTCACCTGCTACGCCTGCCCCCTGCAGTTCTCACGGCCTTGAGTAGCAGAACATGGTGCTTCCTCCAACAAGACCACACTTCCAAATCTTCACCCCCTTCCCTCCTCATCCCATGTTCAGAAAGAAGAAAAAGGACACATAACAAGTAGGTGGATTTCAGAGTAGGTGAAGAAGTAGTGTGGTTTTTTTAAATGTCCAAGGAAATACCTGTTACAGGGATGGATGCACACAGCCACACCCCATGAACTCATACTTGTAAAACTTCCATCACCAAAACACACACCAATACGGACACTGCCTTCAAAAAGTCAATCCAAAATTTCTCAAAATCATACAAAAATAAAACATATATTAGGAGTAAAACTACAAATATATACTCCCCCTGTTGCAAACTAAACTAAAACCTTCTTTTCCCACTTTAGAGACGCAAAAACAGACCGAAGACCACTTTTTGTAAATTATACTAACAATAACTAGAAGATGAGCGAAATGGAAAAGCATGATGCCACATAAATTTACCTGAGCGGCTGCGGCCCCATCAGGGGTGTCACTACTCCATGGGGTTTTGCAAATGTCTCCTCCTCCTAGAAATCCACTGTCCTCGGTAGCTACCGGACTCTCCTCCTGGACAGGCGCATCGACAGCCGAGCCCTTCCTCTTCGCCGTCTTTTTCTTCGAATGCGCACAGTCACTTTTTGTTTTTCTCTGTCGGAAGTGAGCAAGCTGCGCAAAAATGCAGAGAAGTAGTAAAGGCAAAGGTAGGTGAGAAAAAGGTAACAGAACCACAAAGTCAGCAGGCTCGTGGGGAACATGAGGCTCTGGGGCTGGCTCAGTCCACTTGGCCACACCTGGCCAGATTCACATCAATCAATAGATCCCTGTCCCCTACACACTGCCTTCATTAATACCTATGATGCCAGGATCTACGCTCAGAATTATATCCAAAGAGCCTAGCTTGAGGACTGTTAATTATGCCTGTATACAGAAAAAAGAAAGCAAGATGACAGAGTGGCAGAATAGCTTTTCTAGCCACTGGAAATTTACAGAAAAAATAGTATTTTAGAAAGTGCATCTATTTAAAAGACTGATTCCTTAATCAAGGCATGTTTAAGGTTAAAAACCATATAAAAGCTAAATCTTTTCCTTTGCCCCCATTTTCCCCCAATCAAGGAAATACATAACCTAGCCAAAACTTCCTAGCCATAGATTCTGAGACAAGGTACAGAAATAGCAAAAAATTAATTAAGCCAGGTCAATCTAACATCCTCCTTTATGGAATCAGATGTTCTAGTTTTCATGACACAGCTCACCAAAGCACCAGGGACCACAGAATGTCGCCCATCACAAGGCACAACCCAGCTCATTCTGTCCCTCAAATCTGGGGGTTTCAGACTCTGCTCACTCTCCCTCTCCCACTAACACCTTATTCTATAGGTATGAGATCTAACATCAGCTTTTCACAGGGGGACATCTGTTCCTTCAAATGACAATTGTGGTCATAACAGCAAATGTACTGAGCAAATGTTTGTGTACAGTTCCATGTACACAGGAAATTACACAAGCCATTCACATGAGAAAAACCGTCTGTCAAGGGCAGACAGTGCCTTCGAAATTAGCCTCATTTATTTATTTCATTTTATTTTAATTCATTTGTTTTATGCCACACTCCATGAAATCTAACCATCTGCGAGTTCCTTTCCTGCATTACAGTCCTTGTTTCTGGTCTGTGGCTGCCCAACAGGAGGTGTCCTGTTTCTCCTTAAGATGAGGTTAATGACCACATTCAGTGCTTGTTCAAGCCCATTTACTCACGTTTACAAATCATGACAAGCTCAGGAACACATTGTTAAACTCAGGCTCACTTTCGTCTCCAACGTGTGCCAGACACAAGCAAAGGGAGCAAAAAACAGGCCCCAAATTCCCTAATCAAATCCCAGTCATAAGTTCCACCTTCACGGGAAGCCTGAATGAGGCCACTCTATCCTCTGCCTGTCACTCTTCAATTAGATACTGTTGTCCCTGTCACTGCCTCACACCAGTCACTGTGGTTCTGAATGGTTCTTTAATGCAGTGGCCCTATGGTTTCCTCAAGGGAAGGAACTAGCACTGAATACCTCCTACCAGCTAATCCATATGAAATCCCCACAGGCCATGCCTGACTTCAAAGTAGGTCCCCTCCCACAGCCAGCGGGGGGGCGGGGGGGGGACGGGACGGGAGTGACAGCCAACATGTCCATGTGCCCCTAAAACAGTGAGTACCACAAAAGCGTTTCTGTGAAAACCTCAGCAGAAGGGAGGTGGTAAAAGCATGCCTCGAGACACATGGCTCCAGTACCACTGAGTTCACTAGGGCATCATCCACAACCAAGGACGTAACACTCCTCCCTGGAAGCTTGGCACAGGTGTCTGTGGCTTCCCTAGGAACCAAACGTTGGGGGCGGGCTCTGGACAACTCCTCCACCCTCACCTGCTTAAGACTGTCCACACCAGGGTCCCAAACAGCAAGGAAGCAAGAACAGGAGCTTCTGGACCCTGGGAATCTTAAGCAGTAGGTCAGCGAGAGGTACTCCACAATGTAAACAAGTCTCCTGAAACACCACCCGGAGACCGTTTTATAGTAAAAAATACTGCAGAATTCCAAGTAAAATGAAAATCTGCATGTAGTTTTCAACGGATGGAAAAAGCGGTGAACCCTAGGGAGCGCGCCGGCTTCGCCAAGGACTGCAACAAAGTCACAGCTTCTCGAACTTCTCCAGGAAACCTGAGGTCTGACGAGGTGCAGTAGTAGCAGGTGTGGGTGTGCACAGGCGTGCAGGTGTGCCACACGATAGCTGTCCGGGAGAACGAGGACGTACGGTGCGGTGAAACCCTTGTTTTCACTACCTGCCTGCCCTTCCCTTTCTACTGAACTCCCGATGTAGGTGGGCGGTCAGGGACGCGGACTGTTCCTAAGCGACTCCCGTCCGTTACAGCGCCTCGGAGCCCGGACGCGACCTCACGTCACTCCTAAGAAGGGCGCCACGCCAGTCTCCCAGGAAACACCGGAGGGCGGGGTCCCAGCAGAGACCTCCGCCCCAACCACAGCCGACACGCCCCCATCCCTCGCGCGCAGGTGCAGCCCCTTAGCCCCGGCGTGCCCCACGCCCGGCCTCCCAGCGAATCGCCGCGTTTCCTCTGCCGCTCATTGGCGGCGACCGCACCGAGGGCGGGTTTGGGCAGAGGGCGGCGGATTCAAGATGGCGGCGGCCAGGCGGCGGCTTCCAGCCGAGTTGAAGGAAAGGGCGAGGGTGCGGCGGAGGCGACCTCCGCCTAACCTCGTCCGCTCCTGGCAGGGGGTGATGGCTGGCACTGGAGTTCACTTTTAAGAGCCTACATCGGGGCAGCAGGAGGAGTCGGCGTTACCGTTTACCTTCGCTCTCCCGGCCTCCACCTTTCTGCGCCGCTGCTCCTGCTCATCGTCTTCCATCTCCCTCCAGGCCTCTTCGAGGTCCACCCGGGAGGTGACGGATCCGACACGGCGCCGCCGCCTTCGCTCTATTTACACTCCCCCTCGCCCTGGCTCGCCCTCCCCCACGACAACTGTCACGCAGACGTGAGCCCGCCCCGCGCCCTGCCCGCTCCGCCGCCAATCAGGGGTCACGTTCATGCCCTCGCGTACGCGCGCTCCGAGGGCCGCGGCTGGCGTGGAACTCCGCCCCTGCCGCTTGCTGTTCTCCGATTGGCGCGATGGTACTCCAATAAGCGAAACACGGTCGTCTCAGAACTCGCTGTGGTTGGTCGATTTTGAAGGGGCCGAGGCACCGCCCTGTCGGCGCGGGCCCTACAGACGCTAAGTCCCTGGGAGCAGGTGTTGCCCTCAGCTTTACCCCGATTCGTTACCTGGTTGTTAGACGTGGCTCCCTGGGGAGATGAAACCGATCCCGAAGGAACCAGGGCGTTTGCAAAGCCCACCCCACCTTCTTCAAAAAAGGGCTTCCAGGCCGCCCACGCTTCGTCCCCACCTGCGTTACTCCCCCGAAAGCCCAGGAAGCAGCTCCTGGAGCTGAGCCCCTTTGCCTGGGAAACCGATTTGCCTTACAGCAGCAGTGGGCATCCCACGTCTCGCCCCCGCTGTCAGTCCCAGATCCCCTGCCTCTCGTTCCTCGGGGCCAGGCCCTGGTCATTGAGGCCTTCCCCGCTGAGATGCTCTCTTTATTCATTTCACAGTCCAGACAGCCAGCAAGATCACTTGGATCCTTGCCTATACGTCTCTTCCCCTGGTGTATCACTTCTCTTCTACCTCCTTACCTGCAGGATCCTGAACAGAAGGAGCCCAAGTGCCAGGGCAGCCAGTTATGAGTTGGGTGAGAATCTGGGTCAGAGCCTCCAACCACAGAACCCAGAGTTGCAGGGACAGGAAGCCACTGGGACTGGTGCCACTCCTGGACCCATGTATTCTTCCTACTGGAGAGACAGGGCCAGATTGAGATCTCTGAGTTAATGTGTATGCCCCCAGCTTGCAGCTTCTGGGTGCGTGCGGCACAGGAATTGACCAGAGGGTCCCACAGTCCTGGGACTACTCCAGCATCTCTGCCATAAAGCAGTCCCCTGAATTAAAGAGTGTTAGGAGGGACCCCATGCTGGTTAGGAATTCTGCAGAGAGGGACACGCTGAGGACCTGCAGGAGGAAAGGCAAAGCCATACCTGGGATGTGCGTTTATTGCTGTTAATGCAGCTTCTGGGACCCCAGAATGGAAGGGACTCTGTAATCTGACTTGCCAAGTGGCCTGCGGTCTTAAGAAAAAATTAGTGAGAAATGAGTTTTAAAGATACAGTAATTATATCCAGTTCTAGATTACTAGAAGACAAGCACTGATTCAGTGAATACGAAAATCAGGCTCTTCTCAAGTGAAAAAGGATTAAGACTTTGAAATAACTGGGTAAATTATTCCATATATATTGCAAATGGTTATTTTTTTTAAAAAAGGGATGTTTAATTTTGCTGTGACCCTAAAACTGCTCTAAAAAATAAAGTATTAAAAATATTTTTTAAATAAGGAATGTGACTTTAGTTAATAATTCATAGCCTTTGTGGGAATCTGAAGTCTCATGAAATCATTGTTCCTTACCTTCACTGGAACCTGTTTGTCCAGATAAGGAAACAATGCAAAGTTTTTATTCCTAGCCCACAGTTTTGATTAACAGTCGGATACTGGAAGTGTAATCAAGCTCATTGGAAGCTGATAGCCTCTGATAGTTGACAATCCAAAGCATCTGGCCTGCATCTCTTGTTATTTTCACTTAACTACCTATGTGAGTGTTCCTAATCAGTGTGGGTACCCAGGGGAGTAGCAATTCTTAAGTAGTGACCTTGTTTACCTAAGTGGGCTTCACATTCTCAGTCTCATTTTATCTTTTCTCGTCATTATTGGTAACATCACATTTACCATTAAAGGGAAAATGAAAGCAAAGCCCCAAGGTTAGAGTCTGTCAATAGAACACACCACATTTCAGTTGCAAGGTTACGATTCAGTTGCAAGGTGTGTCAATAGAACACACCACATTTCAGTTACAGAGCACAGGCAGATGACAAGGACAGGGTGGGAGTCACCAAATCCCAGAGAGACATGGGAGACAACTGAACAGCTGTGCCTTAATTTCCCTCTGTGAGAAGTGTAAACGCCCATGATACTCTGTTCCAGATCTGGGCCATTCTTGCTGGGTAGAATGACAGTACTTCAAGTGGACTGCAACTAGAGAGGTGGCATAAAACACAAGACTGGGGTGGGTGACATTGTGCAGGCAATGTTGCAGCAAACATACCATAGAGTCTGGGTTTCCTTCTATCTTACCCATTCCTGTGACACTACTTGAAGGGGTTTGTGTGGAGGCTGTGTGCTCCCTGTTTGGTCACTTCTCTGAGACAGACCAACAGTAATAATGCACTTCTGTTAATGTGCTATAGTGACATCTAGCTGACACAGCTCATCTTTCAACCTCAGTGAGAAGGTGTGATTCTAATCAACCGTGACTTACACAAATATTCTTCAGGAAGCTCTGGAAACTCAACTGCCAGAAAACTTTTGTGCTCTTGTGTGGCACCACAGCCCTTTGTGTGGTCAGTGAAGTTTTTAGTCTTAACTCACAGAAATGAGCAGCTTGAGCAAGCATGAGGTGGTGGGCTCATAAAACCAGTAGCCAAACAGGCAATGATGACAGACCATAGGATCAGACTTTCCAAGAGCAGTCAGAGATCCAGATCTATGCCCGAATCTTTCAAAGTTTACATATTGCCATCAACTTACCACTCCACGGGGGTCCTGTGCACAGTTTTCCCATGAGGTTTTGGTCGGTGGTTTCCAAACTGTTCTCCCGAATCCCAGGATCATGTCCATGGCCATTCTAAACAGGCTCTGTAATTGTTGGATACTCACCCTCACGGAGGAAACATAATGCACCACTTCTTAAATGTGGGCTGTACATAGCGACTTCCTCCCACAGAGGACAGTGTGGGGAGAGAAAAACAGTAATGGGGAGTGGAAATACCTGACTGACACCACCTCCGCCAGGTGATCAAGGTCAACAAAAACAGTGACACGCCATGTTGACAGCAAGCACACTGGATAGCATGTGGTAAGGGGACTGCACCCCTGTGGCCTTCCTCCCAAGAAGCCATAACCCCAGTCCAGTCAGGAGAAAAACATAAGACAAATCCAAAGAGAAGGACATTCTTCAAAATCCCTGACCCAATCTCCTTGGGACTGTCAAGCCAGAGGAGACATGGGACAGAAAAGGAACATTAGGCAAAAGAATAAGGAAATAAAATGAAATATGAATCTTAGTTAATGATAATGTAGCAATATAAGGTCATTAAGAATGTGAAATACCAAGATAAGATGTTAATAATTGGGGAGCCTTATGTAGGATCTCTCTGTACTATCTTCTCAATTTTACTGTGAATCTAAAACTTCTAAAAAATAAAGCTTGTTTTATTTTAAACTGTCTAACAAAATTCATACTCCCTGGGATGTATATACCCCTGGAGTTACCTCCTAGCTGCATAAAATTGCTAAGTTAACTAGTTTTCATGCACACCCGAACCTCCTGTTTGTTAGGGTAATGATACATTTAAAACCTAAATGCTAAAGGGCAACTTAAGGGATTTTAACCCAATCTTGGCCATCTGATGCAAGTTGGGTTGGCTACACTGAGAGCGCTGCAAGCTGCTGAGCCCTGGTCCTACCCCAGCCCTTGACTGTAGTCACCACTCCGGTTTCAAATCTGTTACCTCCCTTCATCAGTCCCTTTGACCCTTCTGTAAACCTGAAATGAAAAACCACGTGAACCAAGAACTACTTCCTTGGCTCTGTGCCCTGTCCCCTGCATGCCATGCCTTGGCTACAAAGGTCTCCCCTGCTGGGCCCACCCTCCCCCTACACCTGCCCCAGGTGCCCCCTGTGCTCACACCTGTTCCAGGTGCCCCTTCTGCATAGCCATTAGGACACCCACTGCTTCTTTGGCAAGGTGCTCCCCCTGACTGTCCCGGCACTGGACACACATTCTGCCTGGTGCGTGAGGGCCTGGCTCCTGGCCCTCAAATGACCAGATGGGTGCCCACTGGGTGAGCAAAATTCTGAGCCCCAGCAGGAAGCCCCTGGGTGGGTCATTGGCCGGCTCCCTGGTGCTGCCCCCTCTGTGGCTGAGATTTTCCTTAAATCCTCAGGGAGCTGGTCCCCCCACCCAGTCTTCTGGTGTTGGAGCTTTACTCCCATCATCTTGTTTAGAGGGTGCGTAGGAGCAGCCAGGGGTCTGCTGGCCTCCTGGAGGCCATAATGGATGGAGTGCGCAGGCCCTGTGTGCTGCAGGGATGGATACAGATGACCGCTCCCCACAGCCTCACCCTCTTCTGGGCTCTGTCCAGAGGGTGGGGTGACACCTGATGACATGGGAACTGTCTTCCCCTGAGGTCCCCCCTCTGCCCCTCTGGCCACAGCTGCTGCCCACTTTTGCTCCCCAAGAAACCCGGCCAGGCCACACCTGGGAAAGGTCGTGTTTGCAGGTAACTCCTGTGTGGGAACTGGGAAGGGCTTTGAAGGACTCTCAACGAAAACCTGGCAACCTGGGGCCTACCCCTCCGCGGCACCTAGCAACTGCTGTGGCGATGCCAGTGTTGGCTTCAGATGCCAGTGCAGCCCAGAGGGATGTAGGGCCCTCCCACTCCTTGGCAGAGACCAGTCTCCAGGAAGTAAACCAAGGCCAGCGCCACAATCCTTCAGAGACACCAGGGCTGAGGCTGCTTCTCTCTGGGAGCTGAGCTGTGCTTTCCTGCCGATAACTGACAACCAGTAAGGGAGGGGCCTGTGGCGTCCCCTCTCCTGTGGTCCTGAGATGATGGACTCCTCTGTGGCAGACCAAATGACCCGACTGACCCTGAAACTCTTGAAGAAGGTAAGACAGCCAGGCGCTCATGTTTTTAACAGCTGGTAAGAGGATCGACCTCAGCTTTAAAAGAAATTTTTTTTTCAGTGCCGTGGCTTCCCAGCAACATCCTCTCCCGTGGTTTTTAGCCTTGTAATGAAGGACTATGGTTTCTTGGCTTTTCCATCTTTTTATTTGTGCAGAACCAAGTAGGTTCTTCAGGCAGTGTCCACAGCCAGGACACAAGCATGCACCTCCTAGCCCAGACACTTCCAGGGCCCCATGAAAGTCCCCTGAGGAGCCTCTGGGCTTCAGTGTTTAAGGGAAGACAGACACCTTCCCAGAGCAGGACCTATAGGCCCCTGGGCTGGGCCTGGGTTGGGCGGCCTGGTGGACCCTTCCTTACACCGGTCTTCTTATCCTCTAAGGGTCTGCATGGTCCATGGCTTGCTTGTCCTCAAAGGCTGCTCAGTGCAGCAGCTCCTCCATGTCCCCACTTGCTTTATTCCTCTTCTGCTGCCCTACCAGCCCTGCACCTCCCTGCCAGCCCCCCTCTGGTGACCCATGGGCCGCCTTGCAGGGGCCAGCAGGCGTTGCCCCAGGACTGGGCCAGACTGTGGCTGCCCAGCTCAGAGCCCACATGGGGTGGTCAGGGTGGTCCGGTATGGTGGACTCTGGCCCACAAAGTCCCCGGATTCACCGTGGATGGAAGAATGAGTCATTCCAGACGCTGTTTGCCTGTCAAGGGAAGGGGAAGACGATTCCCTCTGGTGGGGAATGTCCCCAGCCCCCGTGTCCAGTGGCTTTTATTGAGAGGGTTACAAGCAGGGAATAGGTAGCAGGGATGTATAGGTAATCTAATTACATCAGTAATTTAGGTTTACAGAGAATAGGTGATGTTTAAAGAAGACAATGGCAGGAACACACCAAATTGCTTGGGTCTGAGATGAGCAAGGCGCCAGATGGGATTTGGGTCAGGGTCCAGGAGTTTTGTACATTTCTTTCCCAGCCTTGAGCTGGTTATCTGATATAAGATTAACAGAGCTTGGGGGAGAAACCAAAGCCTGCTTCAAGGAGTGTGATGTACTTCTAGGCCTGATTTCCCCCAGGGGCCCTCAGAGTTATTATCGGGTCCTGCCTATCAACCGCATTACCAGTGTTCCGGCCAAGTCTTATGGGTCCTCTCCCAGGCCCCAGTTTGCACAGGACTATGGTCCCTGATACCACTCAAAGCGGCCCCTTACAGTCAGGCACACAGAGATAGTCTGGGTCCAACTCTTCAGAAAGCTGTGTGAAGGGGACGCACATAACAAGGTATCCACTCTCAGAATTCAAGGAAGAATATGTGCATTGTGTGGAGAACGTGACACACATGTCCCTAAGAAAGGCTGATTATCCTTGCAGCCTGTCCCACACCTCCATCGCATTTCCTGCCCAGTCCCCTCTGTCTCGGGCACAGACAGGATCACAGACGGTGCCCCACGCCAGCCTGTGCCCCACTCATACTGAGCCTGTACCAGAACCTGTCCCTGTCATGGTCTCTTCCTCACAGAAAATGGAGCAGGAGCGTGAGGATGTGGAAGGGGATTATGAGGACCCTCACCTTGTACCAGGTAAGAGCTGGGCTCCTTGGAGCCCCACAGGCAGGCACGAGACCTACCTTCTGCTCAGGTCCCTCCCACTCCTGTCACTGACAAGACTATGCTTAATGCTCTTCCTTATATCCAAGGTTGAAGGCTTTTGTTTTCATCTTGACAATAGCCACTCACATACAGGCATCTGCATACACATATACACACTCACACATGCATGCATGCACACATATTCTCACATGCACTCACACATTCGCACATACAAGCACATTCACACACATGCACACACTGGTGCTCTGCTCAGTGCACCCTCACATCCTATTTGTCATCTTTACCTGCAAACCCCAGGACAGGAACACCCCTCATCCCCATTTTCCAGGTGAGAAAATGGAGGCTCTGGCTGTCTCCAGGTCCCAGTGGGTAAGGTTGGGGCATTCTGATGGGTCTGCACGTTGCTCAGCACAGCTTCTCTCCAGGACAAGAAAACAGGCTGGATGCAGCCCTGCAGAGCGCTCTAAGGAGGAGGAAAGACCTTCTGCAGAGACTCAGGGTAGGCCAGCACCACAGCAGCCTTGGCCAGAGCTGTCTATAGCTGAAACTACTGGCCCCCATACTCAGACCTGAGTGAGGAGTGGGGTGCAGGCGGGGGTTGGGGCTGAGGGTGGGAGTTGGGGGTGTCCTGTCTCTCTGAACTCAGCACCAGTTTTGAGAGATTTGTGACTTGTGGATGGGTGGCTGGTAAACTGCGAGCAGCTGAAAGACTTCACGCCTGGGGCATGGAATGGACTAACTGGAGAAAGGAACACGCTCACGCTGTGTGTGATCTGGGCCCTGACAAGCATGCGATTAGCTATGACACCTGCTCTGGTGGCACATAATCCAAGGAGGAAATGCTAAATAAAGGGCCCAATTCCCACAGGAAGTGGAATTCTAAGAAGCCCAGAGGCCTTGTCCCAGCTCTATCCACCAGCAGTAGGAAGGTGCACACAAAGTCCACACAAATATTTATGATGAACACAGCCCTTGTAGTGGAGGGGGTGCTGAGGCAGCTAGAACCAGAGATTAGTTCATACGATTTGGTAAATTTTAAAAGGAGCAGTGTTCTCACGTGTGCCCTCTCAAAGGCCCTTGGGCCTCGCTATCGAGTGTAACTTCAGTTCCAGGGAAGCCCTGTGGGGACCGAGGGAGACCCCAGGTGTCCTGCATGGGCCACCCAGCGTGGAGGAGCCCAGGACACAGTCTCTCCCACTCGGCTTGGTGGCTGCCCCTCGATGCAGCAGCCTCTGGCTGGCATTGCAGGAACAACGCCTCCTGGAAGAGCTCTCCCGTACCCGTGCCCACGCCTGGAGGGGGCCCAGCAGAGGAGCCCATGGGTCAGCGCTGGCCCCAGAAGAGCCCTCTGGGATCTACCCTGCTGCCTCCCCAGCCCCAGAGGCCCTGGAGATGCCTCGCGTTATCCAGCACTTGGTAGGTCTTCAGGTGAAGCCGGAGGCAGAACCCCTGTGGGGACTCTGTGCCTGCCAAGACCTCCCGTCTTTGACAAGCTCAGCAGAATTCTGAGAGTGCGCTGAAGAGGGTCCTTTGGCTAAGAGCAAACAGTGGGGCACTTACCACACCCAGGCACTCACAGGGACATCACAAGCCACTCATCTCCCTCATCCTCACAGGTGCCCTAAGGCAGGGTTTTGGGGAGGGGCGGTCTTGTCCCCTCGTTAAAGATGAGAGGCTAGGGTCCCAGCCCCAGGTCCTAACTTTTGCTCTAGGAGAAGTATTAGGGAAATTCAGCATCAAGAGGACCTTGAATTTGGGGAAGAAGCATGGTAACTCTTTTTTCAAACCTCAAAATGGCCAGGAGAAACCTTCATTTCAAGGACAGAACTAAAAAAAAAAAAAAAAAAAAAAAAAAAAAGCGAGGGGAGGGAGTGAAACGTGTTCTAATGTTGAGAGCCTCACACCTTCATTCAGCATTCTGGGTTGCAAACAGTGGAAAGCAGCTCTGTCTTGTTTAAGCAAAAAGGACTGTATGGGAGGCCAGCGGGGACTCGGAGGAGGGACAGAAGCTGGAATCTGGTGCATCAAGGCCTCAGGGAGAAGGTTGGTGTGACTGGCTGAGGAGGTTGGCAGGCCTGGTTGAGAAGGTTCTGCGCTGGCTGGCCAGGAGCTTGATGGTGCTGGCAGCCTGGGTCAGGACCTGGAGGATGATTGTTCTTTGAGAGAGGAGCCTGGTGGCTCATGGTAGAGGGAATGGAGTGGGAAGGGGCGCCTCAGAGGGATCCACGCTCACAGAGCCCCCAGAGCCCCTTTGCTCCGGGGCTCTCTGCGGCCAGGTCCCAATTATGCCCAGCCTGTGCCATCTGGTCTTCTGACACCTGGAACATCCCTCTAGGTATCAAGGCAGGGGGCTGTAAGTACAGAAGGTTCCCCCCAGTTCCAAGCACGTTCACACTTCCTGCGCTTGACCAGGGTCTGGCCATGCTCCCGTGTTTCAGTCTCAGCCTCAGGGACACCAAGAGCCCAGTCAGAGCCCTTAGTCATTGAATTTCTAGAAACTGTGCTCAAAGAGCCTAAGGTAGGAGGTCCGTCAGCCAGGACAGGTGAGGTCCTTGTTTGATGCTGGGAGTGGCAACCACGACCGTGGCTAAAGCTGGCCTGCCATCTGTACAACTAGCAAGCTAAGAATGCTTTTGCACTTGTAAATGTTTGGGGGAAAAATCAAAAGAGGAACGGTTTGGAACACATGGAAATGATATGAAGTGCAAACCTCGGGGCTCATATATAGTCTCACTGGACCAGACTCATTAGTTTAGTGCCTGTGTTGAGTAGTTGGCCCACAGAGCCGAGATGCTCATAGGAGAAGTTTGTCACCTGTGGCCTGTACCATGCCTTCTGTGAGCTGAGAAAGAAGGGACAGAGTCAGGGCCTTGTACACTCACAAAGGACTAAAACAAAGTCTTTCTGGTGTGTGCTCAATGCCCAGCGCATGCCTGAAATTGTTGCACATTTATTTTTACCTCAGGAGAGAAGCCAGAGGTTATTTTCATGACACATTCCCTGGGTGGCTCTGTTAAAGTAGCATTAATGAAACCAGGGATTAGCTTAGCCTGGTGCAGCCAGGAAATGTGGGAAGCTTTAAAAACACTACGTATTTATTAGCTGTGACTGCCATAACAAAGTAACACAGACAGGCAGCTTAAACAACAGAAATGTATTTCTCACAGTTCTGTAGGCTAGACTGGAGCCTGGAAGTCCAAGATCAAGGTGCCGACCAATCTGGTTCCTAGAGAGGGCCCTCTTTCTGCCTTGCAGATGGTTGTGTCCCACTGTTCATCACATGACACACAGAGAGAGCTCTAGTGTCTCTTCTTATGAGGGCACCAGTCCTATTGGATCCAGGCCCCACCCTTATGACCTCACTTAACCTTTGTCACCTCTTCACAGACCCTGTTTCCAAATACAGTCACATTGGAGGTGAGGGCTACAACATATGAATTGGTGGAGGGGGCAGGTTCACAAACATTCAGTCCATAACATACCATGTCTTAAGTAATGCCCAGATTCACATATTTATCTGTTCAGCTCTTAATTCAACCTTTCATTTAAATTCTCCTTGGATGAATGGATAGATAGGTAGATGGACAGGTTGGTGGATGGCTGGATGACGAGGTAGATACATGGGTGGGTGAGCAAGTGGATGGGTGGTTGGATGGGTGGGTTATTGGATGAGTGATTGGATTACTGGGTGGGTGGATGGGTGGGTGGGGAGGTAACTGGTTGAGCAGAATGGATTAGTCAGGGGTAGATGGATGGGTGGGTAGGCAGATAGGTAGATGGATGGGTTACTGGGTGGGTGTGTAGGTGGGTGAATGGGTGGGTGAGTGGTTGGGTAGATGCGTGTGTGGGCGTGTGGAGAGGTGGGTGCTGTAGGACACTCTGTCCAAGGATGCATCCAGGTAGCCAGTTACCTGACTCTCCCTAGGTCCCCCAGCCTCCTGCCACCATCATTCAGCAGCTACCTCAGCAGCCACTCATTGCACAGATTCCCCCTCCTCAGGCCTTCCCAGCTCAAAGGTCGGGAAGTATTAAGGAAGGTGAGTGATATTAATATTGTTATGGGCTTATGAAATTCTCCACTGAAAAGAAAAATATTTTGTAAGCAGGATAGTCATTACAGGTCAGCTTTTGGCTACTCAGCTGGAGTTACCTATTACCAACATGAAAATCGCTTTAACTTTGAGTAATGCTTCCATGATGGATATTGCTTAGGGAAGAAAAGAGGTAAAAGAGAGAGGACTTCATTAGGAATTGAAAGAATTTGGGGCTCCAATCCGAATTCAACCAATTATTAGCTCTACAAAAACCTTGGTTCAATTACTTCTTGTTTTTAAGTAACTTTTAAATATACAATTTAGAAAGAGCTTTATTGAGATGACGGAAGAACTGGCAAATATTTGAAGTGTACCATTTGATAAGTTTTGACATATGGATACACACATGAGCCCAAGACAGTAAATCAAATTGGTGAACACACCTATCACCCGAAAAGCTTCCTCGCATCCCTTCTCACTCTCTCCTACTGGCCCCACAGGCAACTGCTGATCCACTTCTGTCACTGTGTGTTAATTTGCATTTTCTAGAGTTTTACGTACACCGAATCACAGAGGATGCCCTGTCTTGTATGGCTTCTTTCACTCAGCATAATTGCTTTAAGAGTCATGACTCTAGCTGGGTTCCTTGTCACTGCCAAGGGCTGCACTAGTTTCCTTACCCTTTCTCCCATTGATGGATATTTGGAGTGTGAATCATGGACATTCATGTCAGAGTCTCCTGTGAACGTGTTTCCATTTCTTTTTGGTAAATATCTAGAAGTAGAATGCCCAGATCATGTGGCAAGTCTGTGTTTAACTTTTACAAAAACTGCCAAACTGTTTCCATAGCGTCTGTACATTTTACATCTCCACCAGCCGTGTGTGAGGGTCTGGTTCCTCCACGTCCTCCCTTGGCAAGGTCAGGCTTTTTTAGCCTCAGCCATTTTAATAGGGGTAGTGGTAGGTCATCGTCATTTTAATTTGTATTTCCCTAGTGACTGATGGTGTTGGGAGTCTAGGGACAGACAGACCCAAATGTAGGGTCATCTGACCGGCATTCTCAACTCTGTCCCAGTGGCTAAAACCAACTTGTTCAACTACTGTAGCACGTCGCATACTGTGGTATGTTTCAGGCTCAGTGCAAGGCCGCCACACAGCTCTCCCCGGAGAGCCGTTTGCACACAAAGCTGCCTTGGAGGTAGAGAGGGCCTGGCCTTTCTTCACAACCTGTTATTGCTTTTTCCAGGTGAACTTTAGTGATAGGCTGTTGGGTTCCCAAGGCAAACTGAGCAAATGGTGCGAGTGCTTGTATGTGTGTAAAGATGCTTTTATGCCTTAAAAGCAACATTTAAAATTAGTGTTAAAAAATGAAATATTCAATACAGAGCTAGCTATTTAGAAAAAGTCAAATTCCTTACCCCATCCCTTATATAAAAATGATTTCCAAATGAATCAAATATTTGAATGTAAAAATATGAAATCTCAAAAGTACTATAACAAACACTTTGGAGAACTGTTGGGCTGCCAGATATAAAGTTAAACACAGTCTTGAGCCACTGCCTCCCCCAGTGAGAAAGGAAACCTGGAACACGGTAGCTGCTGCTTCCTCGCCTGACTTCACCGTTGTTGCTCTCTGGTACCGTTCCACCTATTAGAAAAACTCCACAGGAATATACACCAGTATAATTTCATACAGAAAACACTGTCTGAATTTACCTCACATCTTTACCCACCTTTTATTTTATCTCATATCAGCCTTCTGGGATCACCTACTTTTGTCTCGAAATAAATTTCCTCAGAACAGCCTATTGAAGCTCCCTCAGTGTTTACTTTCTTGCTAACGTTTCTATTTCCTTTCATTCTGCAACGCTAGTTTCGCGGGGTACAGAAATCTAGGTCGATGATTCTCTCAACAGGTTCTAAGGATACTTGTGATTACACTGGGCCCACCCAGGCAATCCCAGAAAATCTCACCACCTCAAGATGTCTTTTAAAACTAATTAATTTAAAAAATTGTGGTGAAAAAAATATAACAAAATTTACCACCTTACCTATGTTTAAGTGGTTGACTATATTCACATTACAATGCAACAGATCTTTAGAACTTTCTCATCTCCCCAAACTCAAGTTCTGTTTCCCTTAAATGCTAACTCTCCCTCCTCCTCTCTCAGCCCCTGGCACCTCCCCACCAACTCTTTTCTGTGTCTATGAATCTGACCCCTCTAGGAACCTTCCATAAGTGGAATCACATGGCATTTGTACTTTTGTGACTGGCATAATGTCCTCAAGTTCCCTCCATGTTGTAGTGTGCGCCACACTCTCCTTCCTCTTTAAGGCAGAATAATATTCCACTGTATGTATGGACCACATTTTGCTCATCTCTTCATCCATCTGTGGACACTTCCATTGCTTCCACCTCATCTCAAGATTCGTAAGCTAATCGCATCTACAAGGTCTCTTTTGCCCTGTAGTGAAACACAATGATAGGTCCTGGGGATTAGGATGCAGGCACCCCTCGGGCCACCGTTCAGCCCACCGACGGGTGGGGTGTTCCAGTTCTTTCCTGTGGCAACTGCTTCAGCAGTGCTGCTCTGTCTGTTCCTGTCTTCTCTGGTGAAGGGATGTGGACATGGGGCAGTGCTGGGGAATGAGATGGCCCGGTCAGGAAACACTGCCCAACAGTCTCCCCAAGTGACGATTCCCATGTACGTGCCACAGAAGAGAGGGAGAGTTTCAGCTGCCCACAGCGATTCACCAACACTGTGTTTTCAGACTTTTTCCAATTTTTGCCAATCTGGTAGGCATGTGCGGTAGCTCATTCTGGCTTTAATTTGTATGCCACCTTTTTATGTATTTATTGGTCATCTGAATATCCTTTTTTGTGAAAAGCCCATTTAAGTATTTTGCCCATTTTTCTTTCAGGTGGTCTGCCTCTCATTGATTTATAGGAATTATTTATATTTTACACTGGGTCCTTTTTTCATACATGTACAATATTACAAATATTAAGTCCTTCTGGAGGCCTGCCTTTTCACTCTTGTCTTTGGATGAACAGAAGTTCTTAATTTTAATAAAGCTCAGTTTTTCAGGCTCTTTCCTTTATGGCTAGTGCCTTGGGTATCCTGTTCAAGAAGCCTTTGCCAGCTCAAGGTCGTGTTGTCTCTTAAGGCTCAGTTTACATTTCACGTTCAGATTTATGCTCAATCTGGAGTAGATGTGTGTGTGCTGCGAGTTAGAGGTCAATGTTATTTGTTTGCCATGGACATCAGTTTGACCCTGTGCCATTACCTGAAGGCTTTGTGTCCCATTGCACCGACGCGTCCCTTTAGTGATATGTCTGTTTAGGGTGGGTCCATTTCTGTGCCCTCCTGCCTAATCTAATCTTCTCAGCCCTGCCTCTTTCGGTGGGAGTCCTGCGGGCCTGCCAGGGGAAACGGTCCCTCCGAGGGTTCCCGCTGCTGCTGACGGTGGGGGCTGCCCTGGCCCAGGCACACGTGTCTCCTCAAGGGCCTTTCCCAGATGGGGCTGCCGCAGACTCAGCCTCTCCAACTGCATGTCCTGCAGGGTCAGAGTTCCCATAGCCGCGCTGCTGCAGGAATCTGGCTCTGGGCCCCGACCTCCCATAGCACCCCAGCCCTGGGGCAAAATCTGTGAGAGTCAGGCTCTCCAGAGAAACAGAACCAGTGGGATGTGTATACAGAGAGAAAGAGATGTATGTGTGCTGTTTAAAGATTTTATTTATTTATTTTTAGAGAGAGGAAAAGGAAGGGAGAAAGAGAGGGAGAGAAACATCGTTGTGTGAGAGATATGTTAATTGGTTGCCTCTTGCATGCCCCCAGCTGGGGACCTGGCCTGCAACCCAGGCGTGTTGCCCTGACTGGGACTTGCACCGGCAACCTTTTGGTTCACAGGCCAGCACTCAGTCCACTGAGCTGCACCAGCCAGGACGAAAGATGTGTTTTAAGGAATTGGCCCATGCAATTATAGAGGCCTGGTTAGTCCAAAACCTGCAGGTTGGGTTGGCCTGCTGGGGACCCAGGAGAGTTTCGGTTTGCATGAGGAGGCTGGTGGCGGGTGTCCTGTGCCCTGCTGGAGCCCCCGCCCTCAGGTGTGCAGGCTCCTGTTTGTTTGCCTGAGGGTATCAATGGTCCTAGAGGACCCTCCTTATTTTGGTGAGGCTGACAGAACCTGGAGGAAATGCCTAATTTCCAAGATATAGATGCTGTGGGGGCGCTGGGGGAACCCTGTGTACCTCTCATGCTGACATAATTTGCACATTTTATAGTATCCAGAGTTGGTGAATATACTTTGGAGCTGGCATAACAAAGCACCACCATCCAGGTGCTTAAAACCACAGAAATCCATTGTCACAGTATGGAGGCCAGAAGTCCCAAATCCAGGTGTTGCAGGACCATACTCCCTCCAGGGAGGGTTCTCCCTGCCTCTTGCAGCAGTGGCTCCAAGTCTCCTCAGGTGTGGCTGTATTGCTCATCCCTGTCCAAGCCTGCGTCTCCCCTTTGGTCTCCATCTCCCTCTGCCTGTTTCTTATAAAGACACTTGTCCTGGACTTGGGGCCCACCTGGATAAGCCAGGGTGATCACATAAGTCTTTCGTCACACCTGCAAAGGCGCTTTCTCCAAAGAAGGCCAGGTTCCGAGGTCTTGGGGTTAGGACGTGGGCGTACATGTTGGGGACCATCATGCAGCCCAGGTGGGCTTGAGGAATCTGCTAGGGGAAGGCAGGTGGAGCCACCTCCTGGGAGCCCAAGTAGACACCATCCAGACACTTTATAACACACACACTGAGACCTGGAAGTTTCACATCTGGGAATCTGCGCAGCACCCCCAGGAGGAACAGACACCTGGAATATGCTACATCTGTTTCAATAAATAGGCTGCTCTAAAGCTCTGTTCTCAGGTGAGGTCCCCAGACTGGGCCAGCCAGCTGTCTGTGTATGACTGAGCCCCGCTCCCCCCGGCCCTTTCAGACATGGTGGAGATGCTGCTGCTGCAGAACGCACAGATGCACCAGGTCATGATGCAGAACCTGATGCTCCAAGCTCTGCCCCCAACAGCCCCTGTGTCATCCAGGGGACCGCAGGCCACATTCCTGCACCCCACCGCACAGGTAGGCTCAGCCTAGAGCAGACACTGGGCAAAGGAGACCCCCCCCCCAAGTCAAAACCTGGGTGGCTTCTGTTCTGGAAGTTGTGCATCTGAGTGACTCTGAAAGGCATATTTTTGGCTCTGGGTCAGTGATCTGGCTATGAAGCCCTCCAGTTCTCCCCTGCTCCCCCTCCATGAGGAATGGGTGGTGCAGTTTGGGGCCCAGAAAGCTGGCTTATTGAGCTGGGTGAGTCCTCCCTCCCTTTTCTCCCCTTCGCTCCTCTCCCTGCCCTTCCTGGGCTCTGAGCCTACCCTAAGTCAGGAACAGCAGTGGGAAGTGGGGGGTGGGGAGAGAGGAGGGGGGTGGGGAGAAGAGTGCCCAGAGTGGTGGTCCCAGCTGAAATGGGCTGGTCTTTGTGCTGTGCTGGGGGCCTGCAGCAGGCTCACCCTACTGTCCTGCGAGCGGAGAGGCAGAAGGCACCCTCCGTGCACCACCACCACCACTACGCACCCCCAGCCCCGCTGCAGGCTGTCGCCGCGCCTGGCTCACCTGTGGCTTACTCCACCTGGCCTGCGGTGGTCTCAGCCACCGCCCCCGCACCTGCTGCTGGCTTCCTGCCTACCGTGCGCCACGTGGTCGCCCCCTCTGCTGCTGCCCTTAGCACGTAAGAACCCCATGGCCCCATCACCTTTCCCTAAGCCTATTGAGAAGCTGGTGGGCGTAGGTCTTTGTCAGGTCCTCAGGATGCAGCAGGGAATCGGGAAAGGAGTCTGGAAAGGCCCAGCCATGGGACCATGGCAGCCTCACACGCCCAACCCCCAACACACAGCTGAATGTGGAAGCCATTCCCCACCCCGCCCCAACCTCCCGGGGAAGCTGCCTGCAGCTTGGGTCATTTGTGTAGCCCAGATGACCATGGGTGTGTCCAGTCCAAGCACAGCTGCAAGGGCCCCCCCTGGATCAGCAGCAGGGCTCACCTGCCACATGACACCTGCTGCGTAGAGCCTGCCAGTCCTACCAAAAAGTAACAACACCCAGACTTGCCTTTCCTCTAGGGCAGTGCCTGAGGGTTTCCTGCCCCCACCGGCTCCTGGCCAGTGAGTCCCCCCCGCCTGGTGAGCCCCAAGGTCCCTCTCCCCCAAGGGCCATAGCCTGAAAAACCAGTCTGAAGCCTAGGAGCGGTCTCTGGACACAGGACTGAGGATCACAAGAAAATACAGGAATTTCATCAAAGAAGATGGCCAGGAGTCATAGGGAGAAGATCCATAGATTTATCTACATAAAAATATCAACTTTCCCAGTGGGAAAATACCACAACGTTAAATCTAATGACATCTGGGAGATGTTTGCCCCACGGTGGCTACGGACTGTGATGTGCTGTCCAAGGAGCAAGCACTTGCAACAGGCTAGCTTGGCCTTTCTCCTGCAAGTAAAACCCGAGGAGCTGCACGTGGTTCCTTCTGAAGACCGGGTGTGGGAGCCAAGGCCCTCTTGGTTCTGTTGGTTTCTTCCCTGACGAACCTGTTACCTTTACTCTTTCTATACTGTTATTTTTTCCCCCTTGGTGGAATTATGTATTCTTCTTTTTAATAGTTTTCATGTAAATGTCATTGTTTTAGCAGAATGCATGTTTTCATGGCCCCTCTTAGGGTACATTTGCAGGTTCCCTAAGTTCCCCACAAGCAGGGACACTGTCTTTGCACCCTTGGGTTCTCCAGGAGGAGGTCGGAGGAAGCGCGATGCCTGGTTTGCTGCATCCAAGTTCCCTCTGGGCTGACGTCAGGGCCAGGCTGATGTCAGGCTGGGCTGTCCCACGGCCAGGTTGTCCCTCAGCCTCCTCTCTTGTTAAATGGACCAATTAAAGGTCTGACTGTATTTCCTATTTCACATTAACTTTTTCTAACATGGTTTTGGTTTTATTTCTCAACATTATTAATAGAGTGAAAAAAATCTGACAAGTCCACTGTCATTGGGAAGCCTGATAAACTGGAAAAACTCAGTTCCTTGCACATTAGGGGGTAGATCACATGGGGTCATGTGAGAGTCACATGGAAAGCCTCATGGGGGCACCGAGTGATCATGGAGGGCGCAGGAGGACCCTGTTGGGCACGGGGCGGGGGGGGGGGTTCACGTGAGAGTCACGTGGAGGGCACATGGGAGTCACATGGTGGGCACATGGAGATTAAGTGGGGACAACACAGGGGCATGGTGGGGCTCATCAGGGGGCACATGGGAGTCAGGTGGGGGTCCTTGTAACACTGACCTTCTAACCCTGACCCTAACCCAGTATCCGGGGAGTGTGCTGCAAGCAGCTGGGATACAGACCTCCTTGGTAATGACTGAGAGTCCATTACAGAGCAGAAGTGATTGATCTTATTTTCTGAACGTGTTAGGGTTGATTCTGAGGAGGTCCGGCTATCTACGGAGAGGACCAAACTGCGACAGAAAGGGTCCGGGGCGGCTGGACAGCTGAGTGTTGAGGGAGAGGGCCCAACGGTGGTGGGAATGGCAGAGGTTCTACGGAAAAGTGAGGAGGGTCACCAACAGGGCTGAAGATCCGGGGAATGAGCTGAGGGCTTGGCGGGGGGGGGCGGCGGGGGGGGCGTCCCTGAGGGAGCAGAGGCCACACAAATGAGGCGGGAGCGCAGCAGGGAGGGACCAGGTCTGGCTCTGGGGGAGAGAGTACACTGGTCCCAGTCCTTGAGACCCGAGACCCGAAACTCCAGATGGTGGATTCCTGGAGCTGCTACCTCTACAGGAAGGACTGCACAGGACCCAAGGAAGGCCAAGGCCAGCAACCAAAGATGCAGCCAGGCCCAGGAAGTGTTGTGGGGTGGAAGTGTGAGCAGGACAAGGGGCAGGTTCTGAGATGACACTGCAGGGGGTGGGGTGGGGGCCAAGGTCAGGGAACTGGGTAGAACACATGCAGGAGGAGAAGCTCCTTCTTCTCCCCACCCCCACTTCGGTTGCCAATCTCAGACCTGTGTAGTCACCTGTGCTTCTGATCGACTGGCTATAGATCAGAGGCTCAAGTCCCTGTCCCTGGGAGCAGAGGGGAAGTGCAGACTGAGACAGGACACAAATCCAGTGGGAAATGTGTTCTCAAGTTTCTAAAACTGATTCACGGGGAAACCAAATTTCAGAATGACAGCATTCTGGTTTTAGGCCTGTGTTAGCGTCATGACCTCTTTGCAGCTCCCTGTGCTGCAGTCACACCTATACCGGACGGGTTCAGGTGACGGAGGCCCTGGCTGGCTCAGTGCCTGTCCCCTCCACCGCCTGCTCCCACCCATTTGCCCCCTGGCTGCTTGCTTCATCCTCCTGAGTAGCTGCAGAGGTGGGAGAGAAAGGCCTCATTACCAAAGGCAGAACCCCACGGAGGGTGAGGTTATGTGCTCTGAGAGTTTAGAACTGTTTTATTTACAATACTAAAAATAACATGTCTGCTGGGTTCGAAATAAAGACATGAATGGAAATTTCTCTGATGCTTTAAGAAATAGTTCCACTTATGGAATTTAGCTGCAGCTTGGGCACTGGCCAGCAACACCTTCAGTTTGGTGGAGCCTCTGATCCTTGGATCCCAAAGGGAAGGGTCGACTGCCATCCATACAGTGTCCCTGTGCTCTGGAGGGTCTCTCGGGTACTACCTGCGTCCTGGGCTGGGATCATCAGAAGAGGTCCCTGCTCAGGGGCTGGAGCCTGACCCCAGTGCGCCGGCCCAGCTCCTCAAGAACCTGCTTCTCCTTTTGGTACATCTGAAAGAAAGGAATGGAAACTGACTGTAGGCTTGGCCAGTTGGTGTGGCCTCTTTGGGCCCTGGGGAGTTGCTGGCTCCGCCCAGGGGTCCACTCCTCGGGAAATTTCTCGCCAAGGCCCAAGTCCATGGCTGTGGCACGGGGAGCCTTGGCCATGGGGCCTCCCACACAGGTTAAAGGGCAGGTCCTGATTCTGCTCATGGGCACCCAGCACCTGTGCACAGGGAGTGCCAACATGTTGCAAGTGAGGCTACAGGCCAGGGCTGAGGTGGTGATCCTGGGTAGGAGAGAGGAGAGCCTGTCTGGGGTCACAGGACAACAGGTGCAGGATACACAGGAGGGAGGGGGTGCCGATGGCCTCTTCTTGGGGAATGGAGGTCAGGGCTTGGAGGGCTGGGGTCCCCGGTGGACGGCACACTGGAGGTGACATCTTGGGCTTTCCCCAAGATGCTGACTTTGGACCACAGAGGTGGGGGTGCGGAGGGGAAAGAGGCAAAGGGGCGGCAGTGGGGTCCGCCTCTGACCAGGAGGGGAGGCGTAGCCGGGGTGCGGCTGGTGTCGACCCAGCCTAGAATGGCAGGGGCAGGGTGGAGGGGTGGGCAGAGGACAAGCGCATCACAGACTTCTTTTGTTAACAAAAACGTTTACTATGCCTTTCGGACAATCTCACTACTTGATTACAATACAGTTTGAGTACATTAAACGTAATATGGTATGTTTATCAACACGGACTTTTACTAACGGGTAAACACCGGCACCTTCCGAGGAAACCCATGGCTCCGTAACTTTATATGATCGGTGTATATCAGACACCTGTGCATTTTAAATCCTGTTCCCAACTGATAAATATTATCACAATTTCTCTTGTAAAGGTTTTTTAACTTGAAGCCGTTAAAATTTCATAGAATTTTTAGAATTCAGTCTCTCTGTTCAGACCTTCCACAGTGACTTAAAACAGCTAAGAGCATTTGGGGAGCCCAATATTTAAAACAAATATAAGGGTTTTTTTTATGAAGTAAGCATTTATAAAATTCCTTATTTTACTGCTTTTTCCAATTTTGGTTTTCATCATCTGCAAGGGGCAGGTTGGGCAGCCCTGGCTAGTGGAGAACGGCACCTACCTTCTGCCATGTGGCCTCCGTGCTGTGGGTGAAGCCCAGTAGATGACAGAGTCCATGGGTGGCGGTCACCTGTTAGAACAGTTAAAAAGTCACCTCAGTGGCTGATCATGACCAAGCCATGAGCCAGGGGAGGAGGAAGGCAGGGAGAGCTCAGCCCATACCCGGTGGGCGGTTAAGAGCCCTTCTCTGGGCCAAGGCAAGGCTTTGCGGGTTGGTGGCAGCAGCACAGAGGGTGTGGGTGGGCAGCGAGGACATGGGCGGGGTTTGGGGGATTGCGGGTAGGCCAGGACCTTGTCAGGGGTGTGAAGACCAGGATCTCCAGGGCGGGGTGCGAAGGGAGTTCTTTCTTGAAGAGACACTTGCTTTTTGGGGCAGGGGGAAGGGCTGGAGAGTGGTAAGATATGAAGGCCAAGAGGACAGGTGGGTAGCTGGAGGGTACCCGTAGCTGTAGAAGGTGCCTACGTGCAGCTGGGAGCCTGTAGGGCGGAAAGTGGCCGGGCCTGTCCCTGTGCCAGGGGATGAGGGTCCTGGGAGTGGTGGCCTGGTCCTCTACTTCCGTACAGAACCTTCAGGAGCAGATGTCCACAAACATCCCCTGAACCGTGAGACTCCCCCCCGCACCCCGCGCCCACCACAGGAATGCAGTGCTCCCGGTCACAGAGATGCCAGAGCTGGGCGAGTGCTGTGTACACTGGGTTTCCTGTCACTTAGGAAGAAAGGAAAACCTCCTCCTCCTCCTCTCTCCACACTGTTCACACTGGGTCTCACATGGAAGGGCTTGGACACCCCCCA